GGGCGTTATAATGTGACGGCCAATCCCACTATTCGTTGGTAAAAGAGTAGCCCAAGAGTTGGCGGTGGGTGGTGATGACTAGCTGCCTTCCCTCTAGTCTTACACTGCTAAATTAGGGACGGCTAGCGCAGATAGCCCTCGGGTAGCTTTGCGCGAAATTCAAAAACAAACAATCGTACGCCAATTGCGTGGTGTGCAAAATGAGTTGTTTTGTAACAGGTGAAAATCCACGAACACAAATATCGGTGGCAAAAGCCATCTAAGTAACACAAGCAACTGTGCTGAACATAACCAAGAAAAGATACAGCCAAATTTATTATTTATTAAACATTTCCAATTGTATGTTTGCCTTTGTCACATTTGTATTCTTGCTAATCGGTGTGACCCATTTGTCCAAGAGTAATTTGTATTTAATATAAGGCGTTGGTTGTGTGTTTCTTACTTATATTCAAATACAAGCTGAAATACCCGTCAACTGACGGGGATTGTTTAAACTTAATTAAAACAATGCAAGTTTAACAGCAATCGTATATTTCAAAGTAATAACTTGAACATAAACTTTATCTCAAAATTCTAAAATTATAACAAAGCTTCTCCATAAACAAAATTTGCAGATTGCTTTCCATCTATCAACAAAAAGATTTTGAGGTGATCTCACCCATGAACACCCTACATCTCATTGACCATGAGAAAAGCATTGTTGTTTGAGAAAGAATCCAGCAAATTTCATACTTTGACCTTGAATCCTTTTAGAATATTCAACATTGTCTAAAGCATCAACCTGCCAAGATTGTTTGAGATTGACTCAATAGGCTGGGAGTAATTAACCAACAGACTTTACAAAATACAAATAGGGTTAAGTTCAATTTTGACCCTTTTGGGACATTTCCTACAGTTCTTAGTGTTTACATACAAATTTTGGTTGAGATTGGCCCAGTAGGCTCGGAGGAGTTAGGGTGCAAGCAAACACACATACAAGTCATTGAAGTTATCCGTTTTCATACATTTTGGGTCTTTAAAAAAATTCTGACGCTAATTATTGACTAGTATCCTCTCTTCTGAAAGAGCAGACATTAGACATTTTGTGGAATGGTCACATTTTGAAGATACTAAGCTAACCAGACTGATATCTAATTCCTAAACGATGATAGTAACCTATAATAGTATTTACAAAAAAATAAATAAATAAAAAAACTGAGAGGTGATAATTTGTCTTTGTTGTATATTTTGTTTTATTAAGGTATTATTATTTTTATTTTCAAATCGAATTTCTTCTTGCCCCTTTCATAAGGACGCCCTAAAATATTCTCATACAAGTAAACATTTTAACCAGAAAACAATCAAACAGGATTTATTACTAATTGTGGAGATGAATAATGGCAGGGCGGTGCCCTAGTGGTTAATATATCGGACTGGATTTGAAAGTCTAAGGCTCGAGTCCCGATGTTGCTGAACACATTCTGCACTTTCAGCTGTGGGTAAATTATAAAGAATGACAGTTGATCTCAGTATTCTGTTCAAAGGTCACTCCTATGGCGGTGGTGTGACACCTGATGGTCGCGAGGCTTAAGGTCACATACCAGAAAGTAAATGGAGTTCAGTATGAGAAAACGTTGAATGTGTGACTTTAATTTTAATATTCAGAATAGGAATGATTTACTCTAGCGGTATCTTACC